GTCACCATACAGCTGGTCCTCTAGTGAAGTCACAGTGATGTCTAGGTCTTAAGGACTAATGGTGTACAACTATATCATAGAGATCTCTACTCGATTATTGAGAACCACTTAGAGATTTCTAGGATGGGGAGTTCAGTGAACTCGTCAACTTACGAGCACCCACTTATGCATGCCGATATCACAATACCGTTTACTGATGAGACACAATACACATACACTACGTGCTAGTCTCTTAATGGGAAAGGCCGATATCCTCATTGGTGGCGTAACCCTCGACTAGGAACACGGTTTAACAGTTATAACACTTGAGTAAATATCTCACGATCCTAAAAGATCAATTATAAGTAATTGTAATAACTGCAAGGACTATATCTATGTTTGATAAGGGACAAAGATATAGAATGCCAAGGTGTTTTATCATTAATACGAAAAATGATTATTTATTACAAGAATAAACGGAAAGACCACAGCCACAAGTTGGCTTGTTGGTCACCTACTCTAACAGTTCCTTCATGAGTGACTTGCAACATCTCCCACATATCTATAGTTGCAGGACATGAACAAATACGATTATATTCATTAATAGTAAGAGCACAAGAAATAATGGTCTTAGCCTTTGAAATCATGGACACTAAATGTTTGTCCACGAGTGTATGTTCTCCATTCTTTGGGCACTTTCTCGCCATTTACATTCTTCATTAGAATGTAATAACCCATAGATCACAATGGACTGAAATTAAAAATTCATGCATGCGGTTCTTCCAAGTAGAATATGAAGTTTCAACAAAAAATGTTGGCCTATTATGAGATTGTCCTTCTGAAAAATACAATTACTAAAAGAAACCATAGGATCGTTAGCTCTTCGGTTGTTAAGCCCAACAATAAAAAAATTAATAGTACGAGGCTCTGATATCAACTGAGAGATTAGATATGCCTAAGAGGGGGGTTAGCTAGGCTTTTCAGTATTGTCACTATTTTTGCATATTTAAATGTCAAAGAAATTTTACTAGGAAAATACAATTTTCTTTGAAAGGGAAATAATATTTCAAAATGTTAGATTTTTTGCAAACTTCCAAGTCAATTTTGGAATGAAGTTTTAGCAATAAATAATATATGAATGCGGAACATGACTACAGTTGACTATAATCATTTCTATAAATAATATATGAATGCAGAACATGACTATAGTCGACTATAATCATTTCTAGTTAGATTTAAGCATAGTAAACATTTATATAAAATTCCTTTAAAATATTTAAAAAATATTAAAAACATATATATATATATATATATATATATATATATATATATATATATATATATATATATATATATATATAAAATAACAAAATAAACAAGCAGACTTATAAAAAATGAATTGCAACATGATAAATGCAAGTCCAAAAATAAAAGTCAGACAGTGGAAATGTTGAATTCAATTAGGCAAAAATTGCATGTGAAGATAGGGTTTTTGCAAAAATTACCCCTGTGTAATTTCTAATTGCTAAAATAGCCCTTGTGTAAAAAAAAACACTAGTATTTTATCCCGTGCGGTGCACGGGATTATTTAAAAAAAAAAAAAAAGAACAATTATTTAAAGAGTAAAATTAAATTATTTTAGTGTATACCTATAATTAATTGAATATAATTTAATGTTGAACTATAATTACATATTCATTGAATTAAACTTATAACAATGATTAATTTATAAAATACGAAGTAAGAACATCATTAGTATTTTTTGTTATGGCAATTCTAAATTCATCGTTTAATTATAAGAATAATTTTATAATCATTTACTATAGGAAGAATAGAGAATTGGAGAAGGAGAGAAATAATAATAAGTAATAGAATAGAAACCCCCATTGTGTTATGGGTTGATTTACATGGAATATATATAGAGAAATAGTAATAGAGTTTGACTATGTAACTAAATCCTAACTAATCTAGGTAATCAAATCATAATAGAATCCTAATATTACAAGAGTTATTATAATATAATATACTCTAATATTTACAAACTTGAGCGACAAATTGAAAATGAACAGTGCCATGATTCAAATAATAAATTTTCTTTAATAGTATTGTCAAAATATTGAGGGCAATAGAAATTCATAAATATCAGACAATACTATTTTTTCTACAATAGTTGTAGGGATATGAACAAATTTGAGCCATAAACTAAAAATGAAGATGATTCCAATAATAAATTTTCTTTAAAAGTGTTGTTGAATTGGGATATTAGAAAATAATAAAATACCATACAATACTACTTTTCTTGCAGTATTTGTAGGAATATAATAAATAGAAAAATGTCATAAAAAAAAAAAGAAAAAAGAAAAAAATCGCCTTATGTTATATAATTAATTAAAAATTACATATTCGATAGTAAAAATGTTAATGAAAATATAGCTTCATAAAAATATACAATACCATGCATTCTACATTCACAATAACTACAAAACGATCATAAGTGATAAGACGTACAGTGTTTATAAAAATTATTGCTACAATCAATAACTACAACACCACATAGATCACTTCATAAATTTGAAAGCAGATTCCTTGTAAAATGTTGTGAACAGATGTTCAACAAAACCAATGCTGCTATAACAACTACCGCTGCTACGTACAGTCCTAGCTAAAAATTTGGGAAAAAATGCTAAACATGCAACAAAACGGCAGGTGCTACATGGATGATTTAACAAATGTCGTGAAACGATAAACATATCCCTTTTAAGAAAGTTGAATTCGTAAAGCAATTTTAGGAAAATAAATTCATTTGAATCTGCAATAGCAACAATGGTAAAGAAACAATCAAAACAATGTACAGCTGAAATTGGAAAACATGCATCCTAGTTAACGAAATTCGTAAAGCAATAAGCTCTGACAAAAACCTTATAAATAAATAAAGCCTATTTTAGAGATTTGATATCCGAAATAATTTGCAGTGTTAATGAACGATTTCTGCAAAAAATTGTATGAAAAGAGCTATTAAAAATTATTGTCGTAAAGCCTTAACAAATGAAACTTTTACTTCAAAAATTGAACATGGAAAAAGGAATAAAACCAATAAATCCGAAAGAAAGGTATTCGGACGTGAGAAATTGAGGAGTCTCCCAAAGAGATATTTGAAACTGCTAGAGATGCATATCTCTTTTGGGTAAGACCATGCCCTTTCTTTAACCCAACATATAAGCAAGTGTTTGGCTACTTTGGAACCATTATTTTTTTTTTCGATCTACCGGAAAACAACATGGCAAACTCAACAGATGATAAGCAACATAATTGAAATGTAAAGAACAACAAAAAGTAATATATGATGATGGGTATAGCGTGTACAGGACAACCTGGCAAATAGACATCCACATGAATTAGCTTATCGACTCCCCGAACAGTACTATAAGAATCGGTACTGAACATCCCTCCTGTAATTGTACAGGCTCCCATAGCAATAACATATTTTGGTTCGGGCATTTGCTCATATAATCTCACTAAGGAGGGGGCCATTTTCATTGTTACTGTTCCGGCTGTTAAAATGAGATCCGCTTGTCTAGGACTCGATCTTGGTACTAGTCCATAACGATCAAAGTCAAATCGTGATCCTATTAGTGAAGCAAATTCAATAAAACAACAACTGGTAGCATAGAGAAGCGGCCATAAACTAGAGAGTCTTGACCAATTTGAAAGAGCTGAATTGTACAAAACAATCCATCCGAAATCAAAATCGTTGACCAAAAGAAAAAATAAAAGGACAAAAACAGAATGAAAGAGTACTTACAATGAACAATGCGGTAAGAGCAGAAAGCATTATGATTTTTCCACGGAACATGTTTGGATATGCAAAATCTGTGCCTGGAACAAAGAAAAATTCGTGTCACTATTGATTGGACATAAAAGTAATGGATGTAAAACATTGTTAAAATACGGTAATATATGCAATTCACATGTTCAATGACTAAAATTTTCAATTCGTAAGAACAACTATTTATAGAAGTTAGTAGTCGGAGAGGTTACAAAAAGAAGGTTAATTCATGGTGTGGAGAAGTTATCGATTTTGATGGCGGTTGTTGTTCCGCACGAACTTGAACAACATGCATGGGAAGTTTTCTCTTAGACGGTTTACATAGAAGGTGGGAAGATGGGCTTCCATCTGAAACTGCAATTGAAGCTTTCGGAAAAAAAAAAAAAAAAAAGAAGCGTGACCATGTCTGCCAAGAATGGCGAAAATAGAGGAATAATAGGGAGTGAGAATAGGCATGTTTTAATATTATGGGAATATTTCTTTTATCGTGTTTTTTTTGTCTCGTATTATAAAAGACGGTCTAATAACATTAAAAATAAAATTGCAAGGTAACGGACAAAATTATCCTTAGGGCTATCAAAATTTTACCAAAGTTGTCAGTAGGGTTTCCGGGCAAACATTTCTTTTATATATAAAGATTAGCAAGAGATCCCTGTGAAAAATAGTCAAAGCAAAGAAAACCCTAACAACTTATTGTGTAATGCACGCTAGAATTGTGAGGATAGAAGTGTGTTTTCTTTACTTGTAAAGTCAAAAATACCCTCTGAAATTCTTTTTTTTTTTTTTTTCTTTTATGTTCTTTTTTTAATATTTCTTATGTGAGGGTAATTTGATCATTTAAAACAAGTTAACAATAAATTTCTAAATTAGGATCGGTGAGTTTTGAAAAACACAACATATAGCTTCTAATTTTTTCAACACTTTAACACAAAGGGTTTTTCGACAAATAGAAATAACACGGAGGGATATGTGCTATTAGCTCGTGAAGATAATAGCATAGTCATTTTGCCTTGTAGGAGAGGGTGTCCATAAGAATGAAATTTGGTTGGATTTTCCTTCCTTTTAGTAGCATAAGAGGGGTCATGTTAAATGGCCCCTAGTAAATTATTTGTTTTATTTTTTCTTCTTTTGTTTGGTCAAATGGCAAAAGATTCATAGTAACGGCTAGTTGTTCCATATGTTAAAGGTGGGGAGAGGAGCCGTAAGCTTCAGCTGGCAATAATAATAATATAGCTTCTCTCCCACAAATGACCGTTGAGGAATAATTTATTCAAAACCCCCCCACACCAAATCCAAAACCCTATTCACTTTCCATCACCACCGATCTCAACCCTTCCCTTCTCTCAGAAAACCCCCCTCTTGTATTCTAGAGAGAGGAGAGAGAGAGGCCTTTTTCTTAAAACCCTAAATCGCAAGAAGCTCAATTTTTTCAACAACTAAAAAAAAAGAAATGGATACAGCTCAGAGAAGAAAGAGCGGCGGAATAAATCTGCCGGCGTCGATGTCGGAGACCTCTTTACGGCTGGAAACATTGTCCTCCCCTTCTCCGATGAAGCTGCTGTCATCGCCGCTGAAATCGATGTCCCCAAGGACTATATCGAACTTATCGGCATCCTCGTCGCCGTCGAAATCTGTTTCTAGCTGCAGCGACAGATTCATACCCTGCAGATCTTCGTCGAGGCTGCATACATTTGGCCTAATCGAGAAGGCGTCTCCGGTGAAGGAAGGAGGAGGAAGTGATGCCTACTCCAGGTTGTTGAAAACCGAGCTTTTTGGTACTGATTTCGGCTTTTCTGATTTTCCTGCAGGTAGCTTTAATGGAGGTTCGCCGATGAGTCCGAGCAAAAATATGCTGAGGTTCAAGACCGAGCAACATTTATCAGGCCCCAATTCGCCGTTTTCTCCTTCGATTTTGGGGCAGGATAGCGGCGGCGGCCTCTCCGGTGAGGTATCCACTACCCCACCCAAGCCGCCAAGGAAAGTTCCCAAAACCCCCCACAAGGTATTATTATCTTTTTCGATACCGATTTATTTGTTAATTCATTAACATAACAAATGAATTCATCAGCCATACGGTGCGATTAGTAGTAGATCTATAATATATTTTTATTTGACCTTTCAATTTCTGGACACTATGATTAGAATTGGTTTTCAGGCCTAAGAGCAAATCCAATGGGGTTATTAAATGGAGTGTCAAAACCCATAACTACCATTTTGATAATTCATGGTAGGATTTTTTCACTCCTATGGAGTTGTCAAATGAGGTTCTATTTTGATATTTTATTTTTTGGGAGGTAAAAATACATCCGGGAAAAATAATACCAATTGGAAGTTACACAAATTAACCTCCTAAATAACCAATTACAAAATGACATGTGTTAATTAAAATATATAATCTCATTATTTATTTTTAATTACCAACTATTTGATATCCATGGTTGGAGCAAATAAATTTATTTAGGTATCAAACTAAAATATGAAATATCAAATAAATATTTAATAACTCATTTTAATATTTTTGTGTTGGAGTTGCTGAAATGTAGCTGAACTTAATGGCACGCATGATCGAAACTGTCTTAGTTTTGGAATATGAATCCGTCAAATTAATCTTCTTTGGGTTCTGATCCATAATCGGTAAAAAAAAAAAAAAAAAAAAAAAAAATTGCAGGTACTGGATGCACCGGCACTTCAAGATGACTTCTATCTAAACCTAGTTGACTGGTCTTCTCAGAATGTCCTTGCGGTTGGGTTGGGAACTTGCGTTTATCTATGGAGTGCTTCAAATAGTAAAGTGAGTTTCTCTTCATGTATACGTACGTGCTTGCTTTTCCTGTAATTAATTATTAATAATTATTCACTACTTGTTAACAGGTAACAAAATTGTGTGATCTGGGACCTAATGACAGCGTGTGCTCGGTCCAATGGACTAGAGAAGGGTCATACATATCAGTCGGCACAAATCTTGGTCAAGTTCAGGTTTGGGACGGAACGCAATGTAAACGTGTTAGGACAATGTCGGGACATCAAACGAGAACTGGAGTGCTGGCATGGAGTTCACGCATATTGTCCTCTGGTAGCAGAGACAGAAACATACTTAATCACGATCTTCGTGTTCCAAGTGATTATATCAGCAAGCTTATTGGACACAAATCAGAGGTAATTACGAGTTTCTCTTGAATAAATAATTAATTTATTGGACAGTAAAAAAAACTAAATATTTTCTTTTGTTTAGGTATGTGGGCTCAAGTGGTCTCATGATGACCGAGAACTTGCATCTGGTGGCAATGACAATCAGGTAACTAACTCACTAAATTTGATTGGTGTTGTGTACGGATGTATTATTAATTAATTAATTAATTAAATTTGGAATTGTGGAAATTGAATCAGCTATTAGTGTGGAATCAGCATGCGCAGCAGCCAATATTAAAACTAACGGAGCATACAGCGGCTGTAAAAGCAATAGCATGGTCACCTCACCAAAACGGTCTTCTTGCTTCTGGTGGAGGAACTGCCGATCGATGCATTCGCTTCTGGAATACTTCCAGCGGGAATCAATTAAACAGCATCGACACTGGAAGCCAGGTTGCTAAACCCGAAACCTTGTTGTATAGCTCTACGTACATACATACATACATACATACATACATACATACATACATACATACATACATACATATTAAAATAGATTATTATTTTGTAGGTGTGCAATCTGGTGTGGAGTAAAAATGTGAACGAAATAGTGAGCACGCATGGATACTCGCAGAATCAAATCATGGTGTGGAAGTATCCGTCTATGTCCAAGGTCAAAATTAATCAATGAACGAATGATTTATTTTTTTATTTATTAATCATCTTTTATTTTAGGCTTATAATTACGTTTAAAAATAGGTAGCAACTCTGACTGGACATAGTATGAGGGTGCTCTACTTGGCAATGTCTCCTGATGGTCAGGTATAATATATATTACGTCTATCATCCGTTAATATGAATGATGAAATGTTTGAATATTTGTAAGCGGCCGCCCCTTGATAAGAAAATAAATTGGACATTTTTTTGGCAGACAATAGTGACTGGAGCAGGTGATGAGACACTCAGATTTTGGAACATTTTTCCATCAGCCAAAACGCCCGTAAGTAAACAAAGCCACAGAGTAGAGTGTGTGTGTGTGTGTGTGTGTGTGTGTGTGTTTTGTAATCATGTTTTACTTGCTGTGTGGTCGTTCAATATGTTGTCTGCTTGTGTTTTCAGGCGCCGGTTAAGGACATTGGCCTCTGGTCTTTAGGCAGAACCCAAATTCGATGATGTTATGCTGTGCTTGTAAACATTCCTGTAAATTGAGTCGCTACGATGTCTAAAAAAGGAACTACAACAACCCCCAAGTGTGAACTCGATGAGGATCATAATTTTTTTTTTTTTTTTTTTAGTTACATATTTTTTATTTTAATTGTAAAGTGAGGATTTTCGTCTTTCCCCCCGACTTGTGCGGAATATGTAAGTAGCCTTCAAGAAATTTATACCTTTCAGAGTACAAAAAAATTATCTAATTAAATACAGCATCATCCCCCTCAGTAGGTCAAGGAAAAATAAATACTTATTTTGCTGTAACATATAGGTTGTTTTTTTCTTTCTATCTTCTTCTACTAAGGATCTGAATCTACAATTCCAAAACACACAGGATCTGAATCCCCTTAAGATATATGTTTGTGTTGTGAAAACTAGTAACTTGACCTGTGCGACGCACGTGATTTGAATAAAATCAATGCAGAATAAATTTCAATTTATTGAGGAATCTGTCTTCAAAAAACACTAAAGACTTGTCTGCACTTAGAATTTTTATCATTTCGTTAAAGAATAATTAATACCTTGATGACAAATAAATTTTCTTGTGCTAATTGAACAATTGGCCTGATTCATCTAGTGATGACAATCTTCTATAAATGAATCAGAAAAAAATCAAAATTTAATTAAATACAAATTTTAACATTTTCGAGGTCTATGTCCTTTGGACGATCTACTAATTCATTCAGAGTCTGGTATATATCCAAGCAAAGGTTTTTTTTCGTATTTTTCTTCTTTTTCCTCTTGTTTTTAATTAGAAAAAAAAAAAGTTTGCAACTTCCTGGCCGCAAACTAATGGTATGTGTTATGTTTATACATAATAACTATGAAATCACCGTTAGAATCAATACAATGTAATAATGTCACAAAGAGTCCCTTCACCTGACTAAGCATGCAATTAACTTCGTCTCATGAATTAAATAAAAATACAGCTATGGAAATAGTTCAAAGAGTCATTTTACCTTTCAGCCATTGTCTTGGTTGTAAGTCCAAATCCAAAACTTCTGCATAAAACGGACATCAAACCATGGAGACATGAAATCAGAATTGTAATCTGCATATGATTAGAATAAATGATTGGTTATTCGGAGTCATTGATTAAATATACATGAAGCAAGAACACAGTAGTGCAATCATTGTACATTATCAAAACAATAATATGATCGGACAAAACTTACGTCTTGTTCGTTCCAGGAATGTGGACGGTTTGTGTGGCCGCTTTACATTCCTCTATCCCGAGGGTTTTTTGGATTGTAGATATATATAGACCAATCAAATCCTATGCCTTTACACACGGATTTTAGGAAATTGGTTCTTTTGTTAAGCTTAAATATTTACACAACAATGTAATGACATTTTTAAAAAGTTACCTTAGGGTTTATTGAGGAACCCTTCTTTTGTTAATAAGATTCTCTCGTTTGTAAATTTGCAATCCAACATCGAGCTAACGTCTCTTGAATAATAACTATGAAAATTTAGAAATATAAAAAGTTGGAATTACAATTTACACACTCATGAAAACCCAAATGAGATAACTTTAAGAAAATTATCATCAAAACATCTTCTTATAAATATAACTAACTTCTCATGAATGACTAAATTAAATTGTATCTAAATTACCCTTGAATACAAATAGAAAACCACAAATGTTTTGATGAATTAATTTAGATTAAAGATAAAAAAAAATTAGCCACCTACATAAATGAAAAAAAAAACCATATGTTACAACCTGAAGATTAAAATTTTGTGGCGAAATTTCATGGCACTCATCTGACTCCACAATTGTGCAATAACTTTCAGGGAGCTCTACTGCAAATAAAGAATGAGCGAGCACATTGATGTATATTTCTTGCTAAAACTAGCAGTAATTGGTGTGTAGCCTAGAAGGGTCATTCATTCATGTTTGTAATGGTGGCAACAAGCCCTGGCAAATCAAATAAATCTCCTTAGAAGATGGTCTAGTTGCTTTAGGCCTCAACCATGACGCCTTTCTAAACAGCGGTTTGCATATTTTGTTGAATTCTGCAGACCAAACAATCAAACACAAATAAATAAATAATCAGCATCAATCAACAGCATATCATCATCATCGGAGAAGAAAAGAGGAAGCAACCTTTAACATCTTCACTTTGGAGAAGCTTAATGATGAGGTTACCTCCGGGTTTTAACAGACCATCATTATCATTATAATCATCATCATCATCATTTACTACTGGGCCGCGGTCAATAGCAGCTGCACCACCACCCACTGCCAAATCAAGTGCTCGCATAGCAAGTTCTGCGGATAAAGCTGCGTCTCTACTTGTTATTCCAGATACTGACGGACACATATCTGATAGTATCGCTGAGAACCCTTTTTGCTGCAAATCAATAAGGGTTTATCTTTAACGCTGTCTAGTGATTGGATCGGTAATTTGAGTCCTTTAACCAACAAAAGGTAATAAGATTGCCTACGAATTAGCAACTGCTAGCGACTACAGAAACAAATTAGTAATTAAGCCATCCTATCACCCTAGGTTTGCAAATTAACACGACTGTAATGCAAATTTATGTAGTCTAGTCAGCAGCAAGTTTTCTGACAATTTGTTTTATTTTTTTATTTTTTTAACACTAGAAATTAGTACCGTACTGCTGCTTGTTTCAGGCTTTATAAGCTGGGCTTATTTATGCTAATTCATCTTCTGTTAAAAGATTTCTCAATACTCAACTTCACCATTGCTTCCCAGGTTTTAAAAATCAAAATTTTATTAACTACCTGAATTAAGGCATATCATATATGTTCATCGCTAAGTATATAGTTCTGCACTGCACACAAAATTCATTTTAAATTGCTGAAGAACTATTTATTGGTTTATGGTGTTAATTATGAAAATAAATAAAATGGTATTCAACTAGAAAACTGGTTAAACCAGAATTCAATTTTACAAGGTTTGGAATGAATTAATTTGGAATAACAAGAGTTGAAATCTACCTAAGATTTTCAGTTGTTAAAATGAAGGTCTAGGTAAAAGAGTGTGAGATTTAGTCACCAATGCAATGCGACGGGCTTTCGAAAGATGAACGGTTCATGGATAAAGATGTACAACGAGTCTTTCAGGTCCCACAAACAGGTTATAGAATCATTAATGTGGCTTATTTGCCTTACCCCTATTTTAAGTGAGAAAAATGTGTTGGATAATTTATGCCAAATTAAAGTGCACGTATATTAACATTCAGGCCTGTTAGTAATCCTATTTTTTCATTACCCCACTTCTGTCAGATATCCGAGTCATACTTCATTTTCAATATCCAACACATACTATGATTTTTTTTACATATCTGGTGGCAATAGGCACATATGAAAAAAGAAAAAAATTGAACCGAAACTCGATAACTGAAAAAGAAGATATCTTGACAAGACAAGTATAACATTATAGAACCTGAGGAGAGAGTGATCTAATTTGCTTTGTTGGTAGGTTTATTACATCTGCAGAAACAGTTTTCACCCTTCCATCACAGTGCATCGAAGGAACCTTCACCTTCTGTTCTGCACAAATCATCAATCGTAAAACTCAATAATACATTATACTCTATAAAAAAAACTATCGAACAAATTTTCTGTTACGGACACAAAGTTCAAACAGTACCTTAACATCAATTCCCACAACTACTCCACCTTTTCCCAACGGACCCAAATTCTGGCAAGCCACCTGCATTACAATATTATTCAAATTAGATTACATTTTCCTCCTATTTCCAATCAAATGAAACCGATCACCCACATTCGATTTTATCTCACGAATACACATTATATATATAACCACTAATGAGCGAGAACAAACATACACGAGCATCGGGATGGATACGCACACGTTCGGATAAATAGAATTAACATTAGGTTATTACCTGAAGCCAAGCACCAGGGGCACAACCAAGATCAAGAACAGACGAACCAGGGGTTATAATTTTGTACTGCTTCTGCATTTGAATCAACTGCAATCCCCATTTCCAATTCCCATATACAAAAATTAACAACAAATGGAGAAGAATAGAGAGAGAGAGAGAGAGAGAGAGAGAGAGAGAGAGAGAGAGAGAGAGAGAGAGACCTTGAAGGCAGAGCGGGCAACATAACCAAGGCGCTGAGCTTCTCTGTAGAAGAAATCGGGTGTTCCACTCATTTCTTCTCCTACTTTCGGATCTTTGCTCTACTTTGATTCTATTAGAAATCATCAAACAGGGTTTTGTTAGGGTTTATGCTGGTCATACAACATCGATTATTAGTTGGGTTTGCCATCAAAATTCTATTAATTTTGCAAATTATTAACTTATAAATTAATAATTAATAATTTATTTATTAATTAATAACTTATTAATTTATAAAATTATTTTTGTTATTTATTTCAATAAATACATTTTTCATTTTTTTACCTAGATAGTATAGCAGGGCTTTTGAAATCCTACACCTCGTGAAATACACCACGTGGTTTTAAACCGTAAATCTATATAAATAAGGGTAAATAACACTTTACCCCCTATGGTTTTAACTTTTTACACTTTACCCACCTGTCATATCAATATAGGTCTTTTACCTCCCTTTTTTTGCTGCTGAACAAAGGCCCCCTTTATATATATTTTTTTTTTTGGTGTGATGTCTTCTTCTTCAAACAACTATGAAACTGTCGATCTACGATACCACGGGAAGATATGTTCTTGTGGAAGAAAAGCTGTCATAAAAATAGTTGAAACTGAGAAGCCATCAAAGGGTCAATTATATTTTGGGTGCTCCGATTCAAATTGTGGCTTTCAAGGATGATGCACTCCCCACTCAATCAATTGCATATCAACTTGAACAACATTATCTAGAGCTGGAGAGGGAATTGAGTAATGATTGTATTCAAGCTCTTGAAGCTAAACAAGAAATGGTGAAACAAATGATGGTTGGATGTCTTTTTCTGTATTTAATTTCAGTTGCAATCCTTGTTTGTAAGTTTTGAAATAAAAAAAACTATTACTAATGACTACTAATGCCTCTGTTTTCATAAATTGCATATATCAATTACCAAATACTTTGAACAACTGAGCAAAATGTAATAAATTAACATTCACAAACAAAAAATATTTTCCAACTGTTTCAATAAACAAACACATTGTTTTGCATAAGTGGCCAAAATAAATGACCAAACAAACAAGTTGTTCACTGTTCAACAGACAACAAAAGATCCACTGAGCCAACTAACAAAAAAATGATCAGTTTGGATTAACTAACAAAAAACATGGCTTTCCATGGAAAACATAAAAATCATAAAATTACTTCAACTCAGTTTGGAATCAAGGCATCCAAACTGGTTTTTTCTTCCCTTTCACTTGCCTTTTCCCCAGCTTTTTAGTACCAACTGGAGCTGTTTTGATCTCTGGAACAATGCTTCATTAGGTCCATGCAATAATGTTGGTTGAGAAGAGGTAGTTTGGGAAAATAAATTCTAAACCAAAAAACATAAAAAGGTGGTTAAATATTTGCAAATCATGTCTAATTGAAAAATGAAATAAATGTGAAATGCAAACTAACATCAAAAGTGGACTGTGATAAAGGTGGTTGGGAGGAGAGACTTGAATGCAGTGCTGCGGGTACTTGAATTGCAAGACTTTGTGCAAATGAATTCTGCAGAAACAATAAAACTAGTTAGATATATAAATTAAAAAATATTATGTGATAAAATATTGAGACAAAACAAATACTCAATGATAAAATATTGAAACAAAACAAATACCTCAAAGGGAACATGTTGAAAAATGCCTTCACTGTTTGTAGGTACTTCAGTAGGAATTGATGCCCTCATAATTCTGGGAGGTTGGGGATTATTTGCCTGCAATAAATGAATAGAAAAAGTTAGTCTTATCCAAATAATATGAAAATGAAAAGTAAAAATTAAGTAACTAAATTACCTTCAACAGCTTAGAATTAGGATGCATTTGTCCCTTGCATCCTCTTTTATTATGTCAAGTTTGAAGGCACTTGGCACATGTCACTGTCAATTTCTTTCCTAAAACCTTAGAAGGATTTCTGCTGCCTTGTTCATCAGGTGTTTTGTTTCTCTTCTTTTTAGGTCTTCCTGGTTGTTTCTTAACAATTGGAGGCAGAAGTTGTGGCAATCCAGTCCTGACATAATCATGTTCTCTTGGCACTGGACATATTTGGAAGTTATAGGTGGCCAAATAAGCTTCCCTAATATAGCATGGATGCACATAGTCCTCTGCTGATGCTTGTTCATATATATTGCACTGATTGCATGCTTACATGGCAGTCCACTCACATCCCACATCCTACAGGTACAACTTCTTGCTTCAAAATTGACTGAGCATTGTCTAACACGAGGCCCCTCATGGCAGTCTACTTCATATAGCATCCCACGAGACCAAGTAGGAAAATAATTAGCACTGGCTTCTTTAATTTTCTCCAGTTTCTTTAAGATATTAGGACCAAGCTTTCCCAGATGCTTTAGCATACCATTTCTTTTTTACTTGAAACCTTATCATTAGAGCTTTTCTAATCCATTCCAGCATGGAAATGATGTGTATATCGCTGGCATCTATGATGTAGTTACTCCAGCTTTCATTCATATTGTTCACAAGTATATCACACTTAGCTCTTGGACTGAAATGTGACATGGCCCAGTTTTGAGGATTAGCATTCATTAACCACTTAAATGCACAAGGACCTTCGTCTCCATTCTCAGCAACAGTTGATGGATCAGCCTTTTTTATCTCATTAATGTAGTACTGCCATTCATTCTTGCTTGCAGTAGATGCTACTTTCCAGAATAAATCCTTCAATTCTTTGCCTTTATACTTCAGTTTGAAATTGGCATACATGTGTCTGATGCAGTATATGTGCTCCACACCTGGCATGAGTTCATTTATGGTCTCAACTAGACCTTTTTGTCTATCAGAAATAAACACCCACCCTCTTTCTTGAACACTTCCCATATCATTGAGTAACTGGAGTAGAAACCGTGACCAAGTCTGCTTGCACTCAGATTCTACAACAGCAATTGCAAGTGGGAAGAGATTGTCATTCCCATCTCTGCAAACAACATTCAAAAGCTAACCACCCACTGATCCTTTGAGGAAACATCAATCTAACCCCACTATAAGTCTACATGCTGCTAAATACCCACTTCTTTGTGCAACCAACCTAGCATATAGCCTTAAGAACCTAGGTTGAGTTCCTCTGTTATTTGCTTTTGCATTTTGAATCTTGAAACAACTTCTTGTATTGTGGTCTAGCACTGTTGCACAGTAGTCTCTCACCAGTGCATATTGCTTCTCTATGTCTCCCTCCACAAGCTTCTTTACATTATGCTTGGCTCTACAGACTTGCCACCTACTGATATCAACATTAAGGTCTTTTCTTACCTTTCTCTTCATGGACTTTACTTTTATTTCATGGTTGTCTCTCAAATCATCTAGATATTCGTCAGCTAAGAATTTGGAATTCACATGTCCATTTTCATGTACTCTTCCACACTTGTGCTCTGATATGAATGACTTGATCTGAAATGTTGATGTATTGCCAATAGGTGATGCATGAATCCTCCAGCCACAGTCTTGCTTGCACTTGGCAGTTATTTTCTTGTTCTCATTCTTTATATAGGTGATAGCATGACCTATCAGTACATTCCATCTGACCATAGCTTTTTTAAATAGTTGTGGTGTGGAGAACTTCAACCCTACAGACAAAACATGGTTCTTCATGCCAGTAGCCTCATTAGATTCCTCATATTGTTCACCTTCAACATCACTGTTCAAGATGTCTTCAGCTTCCATAGGATCTGTTGGGAATCGGGCACGTGTACGCATCGGAAAACAAAAATTTTACATGAAATAAACAATTTAATTCACATAATCACATGCTCGATTCGTATTAAACAATTAATTGCGTACCTTAGCGCTTCCAGCGATAATTAAAAACAACAACATGCGTATAATTAATTCGATAATAAATCACATAACATGCTCGCAGTAAATCATGAATTTCACATAAACAATTATGTATAGCAATTCAAGAAAAACATAATGCAAATATAAACATATAATTTAATCTAATTAAATTAACACATAATCATAATCGGATCCGAAAAATACCTCTTGAAGCGTGAGGCAAGCACTCAGATCGAAGCAAACTACCACGTAAACCAATCTGTGAAGTCAGGAGCAGCGGCGGCGATGGACGCGCTGTCTTCGGGTGGCGCGTGAAGGCGCGTGCGGCGTCTGCTCGGCGGATGCTTCTCGACGATTTGATTCATTGGTCTTCCTCCTCTCGAATTTTTCCTCGCATACCGAAATCTGCTAACTACGTGGCACTAGACACGTAAAAGTTAGAATAAATAGAAGAAAAAAGACAAAAGAAAGATACTAACAATAGTATAATCGGCGCGTGAGGCCGATTCCGACGACGGCAGCGGCGGCGGAGGGGGAGGATTGGCCGAGGGTGTGAGAGAGAGCGGCTAGGGTTTTCTCTAGTGTGGTGTATTTTGTGCAAGACCTATAAATCATGTATTTATAGTGTCTTGTATAAAAGCCCTAACGGGCTTAAGTTGGACCGGGCCCAACAGCTTAAGTTCGTTAGTTCTTTACTCGCTCGTTTCTCACAACTCAATGATCGGAAAATTATAACGATTAAAATTTCGGAATCATTGAAACGTCCTCGTCATTACAAGTGCCAATTCTCGATTTCCAATTTCTAAAAGTGGAAACCCTAATTCAGTGGACCTTCCAAATTTGGAAACTTCCCAATTTAGAAAGTTCACTAAGATGTTCGCCTATTCTTTTCCTTTTCTTATTCTCATTCATAATTCCAAATTACGAATGTTGGACTCAATCACATTGACTTCCAATCATGCAAAGATTAAACATTTTTATCTTTGACCGTTTATTCAAAGATCTCGAGTGCACGAGTAGTGTGACCCTCGATGGTTCAGGTGTAAGCTAGCCGGGGGTCCACAACCCTTTGTGGACTAAACTCGTCCCTTAGAGTTACGATTAAGATGAAGCTCGTTTCAACTTAATCACCTAATGAATCAAGATTGGCGTCTAGCAACTACGCATCATGATTCCCTAGATACAAATAAAGTGCCTGCAAGAACCTTTTGATATAGTTAACGTACAGTACGATCCCTTCGATTCATATGTCCCGATCGAACTAGAGGCATTGGTTCATCGAGACCTCCTTAGTAGTTCAATAACTGTGGGATCGTTCTAAGTGTTGTAATCGGTACGTGCATGACTTAGAGAATCGAATTATCTAATCATCACTTAGTTAGCTCTGGCCAGAGACTTAGAGATTACAAACTATGAGAACACACAGGACATCCAAGACTATTCTAGCGATCGAATCCCCGACTACAATGCACAGACCTCCCACTAGATTTCGGACTGCACGAACACTAGCCCTTGGGGCGGTCCTCGGTGGAACTCGGGGACAGGTCACGATACAGCTGGTCCTCTAATGAAGTCACGGTGATGTTTAGGCCATAAGGACTAATGGTGTACAACTGTACCATAGATATCTCTACTCGATTATTGAGAACCACTTAGAGATTTCTAGGGTGAGGGAGTTCAGTGAACTCGTCAACTTACGAGCACCCACTTATGCATGCCGATATCACAGTACCGTTTACTGATGAGATGCAGTACACATACACTAAGTGCTAGTCTCTTAATGGGAAAGGCCAATATCCTCATTGGTGGCGTAACCCTTCAACTAGGAACATGTTTAACAGTTATAATACTTAAGTAAATATCTCACGATCCTAAAAGATCAATTACTAGTACTTGTAATAACTGTAAGGACTATATCTATGTTTGAAACAAAGGACAAAGATAAAGAATGCCAAGGTGTTTTATCATTAATACGAAAAATGATTATTTATTACAATAATAAATGGAAAGACCACAGCCACAAGTTGGCTTGTTGGTCACCTACTCTAACAGAATCTTCACAATCAGACCACCATTTTTCCACTTGCACAGGACCTTTACTTGCCTCTTTTCCAGTAGTTTCAGTCATAAATATGTCATCATGTGGGACCTCCAGGCCTTCCTCATACCAGCTAGGTTGACTACTCACTTCAGATGGTGGTCTATCTTCAGCTTCATCATCATCTTCATCATCACTATCATCACATTATTCTTCTTGTTGATTTTCTTCTTGCTGTTCTTCTTGATGGTTTGTTTCTTGCTGATTAGCTTCTGGAAACATCTTTGCAAACACTTCATTAATAGCTTCATCAATATCTTCATCTTCTGGATCAATATTTCTCCCATCTTCTTCTTCAAAATTTTATGCATACATGTAAATGACATCTAGGCCTTCATAAGTTGTAACCATCTGAATTACATCCTCATCCTCCTTCAATTTCATCAAACCTCTATCTAAAGTTTCACCAACCACTCTATAGTAGATCAAACATCCCTCATTGATTCCCAACTGAGAGTGATACAACTGCTCAAAGTACATATAAGACAGTGTGGCTCTATCTTCAATTTCTAAAAACTCCACCATCCTTCCAACATACTTGATTATAGGTTTCCACATAAAATTTCCTCCATAATGGAATTCTATAGTCACAGGGTTCCTATAATAAGAAAAAAGATTACATAACGCATAAGAGTCAGTACATAATTAGAGCTAAAAGAATATAAAAAAAAAGTTCTAGATAATGCCTAATTATGTACTGCAAGTGGATAAAACTGGTCCAAAATTGGGGAGCATTCTTCCAAAGAATAAAAACATCGAACATGGACCATAATACACATTGAAAGCAGACAAAGTGACATAAAAGGGACAATTCAAACAATATAATAAGGGCAAAATCTGAACCCAAAACATGAGACCAATAAAAAATTTCAGTATTTCACCCACATAAATTAGGGATTCGAGTCATATCAAAAAAAAAAATTTGTGGACAAAAAAACCTGGGTGTCTCAATTTAACGAAATAAAAACAAAAATCAGCATAAATAATTGACGAAGAAGGAATTAAAACGAATAACTTACTTGGGAACTTCCATGAATCATTCGCACTTCGATGTATTGTCGCAAGCACCTTCTTTCACTAACCCCTAGTTCATCTATTGTCGTAATCACTAACTCCCTAAACTTGCGAAGAACTGGTTGAATACGATAGAAGTTTATGAAATCCAGAAGACTTAATTTGAGAATTTTGGGTGAGTTGTGCAAATTTGGGGGAAACAATTTACCACATGTATGAGGGTCGTGGTTTTGGCATGTAAATTGTAAGAAATTAGAAGGTTATTTTAGACATTAACCACTCTCTGTTAACCTTTAACGGATATACTGACGGGCGCTACATTGTACAAACCACAGGGAGTTAAAAAACCTATATGGGTAAAGTGCAACAAGTTGAAACCACAAGCGGGTAAAGTGCTATTTACCCTATAAATAACTATACATGGGTGTGTGTTATTATGTGTAAATCTACGGTTGAAAGGTACATGGTGTACTTCACCAGGTGTAGGTTGTACAAAGTCATTATGGCAACGGCTATATACAATAACAAAACTTACTTATGGCAAGACCAAATTAAAAATCCTACCAAATAAACTGTAAAAATACTATAATGTCCTTATTGAAAATACAAATAAAATAAATCTAATTAGACCAAATTACTCTTGCAAGACCAAGAAAAAAAAAAGACAGAATCGAAAAACCGGAAGGAAGAAGAGGAGAACCTGCTCTGCAGTCGACCACAACCGCCGCCGTCACCGTTGTAGTGAACGACTGACACAACCCCGAAAAGCAAGTAAGGAATCACCTTTTGAATTAAGTTTTTTTTTTAGAAATAAAATGTGATAAGCACGAGTACCATTGAGATTTTATTGTTATAATAATGAATATAAGTCCATCGAGAACATAGTTGGGCGGTTCTGTGAAAAAGTGGATGATTTTAGGGTTAAATTCCACCACCATTGTTGAGTTTAAAAAATAAATCGCGTAGTCAAAAATAGACATCTATTTGTCAATTTTTGTGACGAAAAATCAACATGTATATGTCCATTTTTAGCCGCAAAATCATCTTCAAATCTAGATGTCAATTTTTCGCCAAAAAATCAACATCTATATATTTTTGCAAAAATATCGATATCTAGATTTTGATTTTCCACCAAAAAATCAACATGTACACGTCGAATTTTCTTCATTTTTTTCTTCTTCTTCTTCATCATCTCCTCCTAGTAAGTTTTTTTATATTAAAGTCTTCCTCTTAGTAAGTTTGTTTATATTATGGTCTTACACCAAGTAAGGTCTCGCCCTTAGAAGATTTGGGATTGCAAATATCCGCTGTCATATATTATTCATTGTACCATTAGTACAATGTACTATAGAGCTCGTTTCTTGAACAAAAGTTCTTAAAGCAATAATGGTATTGAACAATTTTCTATTGAGTTATGAGAAAATTATACCAAATGTTCTAACCTTATTTACAAAAGTGAGGGACGAGATTGACGGTGATATGAACTTCAATAAGAAACAAGTGATAATTAAATTATATTTTATAAGCCTTCATAGATCTATAAAATATGTAATGTACTATGTAATTTAAGAATTATTTTCTAAAAAAAAAATTTTTTTTTTTTAAATCGGGGTTGATGTGATATATTTATTCAAATCCGTAATCAATGTGCAATGTTGATGAAATTAGAATATAATGGGATGGAACTGATGAAAATATATTATTATAGATTTTTAGACAAAAGACATGGGGATGAATTTATTTGCGAAACTACTTTTTATCTGGATCTATATGCATTTAAGTACCTTGTCACTGGCCTATTTTGATTTGCCCTAAATTTTATTTTTAAAATAGATATATACATTATGATGATTGCAATTAGTGGAATTTTTACATTTTGCTTTTCTATATTTGAACATGCCCTTTATTAATTTTGTTTACATTATATTTTTTGTTATCATTTATTAGGATCTGTATTTATTTTCCATTTTTCTTGTTTTAATATTTGACAATGCAACGAGGCAAAGTACTAGTAATCATTTAACAAAAAGACATATAATTAGGGATGGTAAGGGTACGAGTTTATCGGGTCTTAGAGCCGAAATCGACCTGTTTGGGACGGGTCTAGGTAAGTAAAATGGTTTAGGGTCGGATAATGTGTTTAAGTTTCTAGAACCGGATAGTTTCGGGACGGGTTACGGGTCTTATTGGAACTGACCCGTATAAATATATTATATTTTATAATTAAATCTATATATAAAAATTAATTTATGATTTCATTTATCAAACTTACGATTTTCATCGTTTCTATTCTCATTTATCCATTTTTCACCATTTCATTTTTTTGAATCTCATTTCTCGTAAGTAAAATATATCACTTGTCGACCACCGCTAGCCGTCTTGCGTTTTGAACTTTACTTATCGTAGAAGTTTAATATAATTAATTACATAATATTATTATTCACTTTATATTACTTGTAGAAGTATTTTAAAGTATTGTATTTTAGTTCTTAGATTATTTTGTTAAAATATAGAAGCAAAAATATTATGAAAGTTAAAAAAAAAAAAAAAAAAATTATGTTAACGAGTGTAGCGAGTCTGGCGGATCAGAACCGTTTAATTTTGATATAGATTGGGTCGGGTCTGGATCTAAACTGAACCGGGTTGAAATTGATCTAGATTTTATATATTTTTCACAGATTGGGTCTAGGGTTTAGACAAACCCGACCTGTAAGTGACCCATTACCATCCCTACATACAATCAAGTCAATTCAGTCTAATTCAATTTTAATCCAACATCGGTAATCAAACAAGGTCTTATAGAATTAAAAATAGATATCAAAAGATCTACTACTAACAAAGTAGGGGCAATTGTCTAATGGCCCATAATAATCATTTTTTTTTCAAATAGGCCCAAATATATTTTATTTTACCCTCAATCCTAATTTAATTTCAATTCATCTCTCAAAATCCTAATTTAATTCCAATGGAAAATATGCCCCCAAAATCTAATTACACCAATTTCATCTCTCAACCCTAATTTCACTCCGATTCTGTCCCCTGAATGATTTACCACCTTCAATCGTCGACTTTTATTTTTGGCAATGTTTGTTTTTTTGGTCGGTAATGTAACTTTATTGACCGGAAATGTTATTCTGTTGACCGGTCAATACATCAACATTTTTTTTTCTTTCACTTTGTTATTTTCATTTTTTTATGCTAGCTATATGACTATGTTGACCGGCAATGTTACTCTGTTTGAAACTGATAATTAAACTGTATGGCACAACATTATTTCTTTTTTACATTTTAAATTTTACTTTTTTTCTTTTACGATATGTTATAATGTAAGCGGCAACCAACGTGTAATAGTGGTGGTCAACAATATAGCAATTCTTTTTTTTTTTTCTAAATGTAACCTTATTGAGAAAAAAATCCAATCTTGATGTGTTGATCGGTAATAAAGTAACATTGCCGATTAACAACAACATCGTTGAAAAAAAAATGAAACTAAAAATATAATATGGTTGTGTTTACCGGTCAACATAGTAATATTATCGAGAAGTAAACAAAAATTAATACAACTCTGTTTGACTGGACAACACAACAACATTAGCATATTGTGTTGACATTATTGAAGAGGAAGGGGAGAAAACATATATTTTTAGTTTTTACGAATGAAATAAAAAAGTAGTCTATGTCATTGGCCGGTGGTCACCGGTAAAAAAAGTTCAAGTAGTAATAAGGAGGTTACATTGGGTAATAACTTATAAATTGGGTGCGATTAGGGTTACGAGTAATTTTACCAATAAAACACTTATGTATAAACATGTATGAATCAATGGGTTTTTTCGCAAAACGAAAATAGAATATACCTATTTTATTAAATGAGGTTGTCAAGAACCTATAGGGTATTTTGTTACATGAGTGTGGATTCCTAAATGGAAACAAAAGCAGAATTTGAACATGGGTTTGACACGAGAAATGTAGTCGAGGCAAGAACTCGATTTTTTTCTCCTTCAAATAAATTTGCTCCGTGCAATGTTCTCGATTTACGCAAATTGTCTCAAAGATACAATGACTAATTTAGTTCCCATGAAATAGTATAATAATTTTTGGAACACAACATTTAGAACTTTTATAAGACACGGAAATGAGGACTAATAAATGCGGCAATATGCAATGAAGACTAATAATGTTTGGATCCAAAAAAATGAATTCGAATTGAATTAAATGTAATGGTGAATTTAGAATGTATTTATAGTTTTAAAAGTTATGACCAAAAGCCACAGCTCTTATATAAAAATGATTTCTTAAAAAAATATCACACATTCTCGGTTCTCATATAATTAAATACATATATCTTCAATTGATGCTTAAATAAATCCATATTTTTCAACGGTGACTATTTACCTCATGTATTACACATATTCATTATTTAAGAGATCTATTAATTTATAGTTCACCAAAAAAGATAGTTTTGAGAAATCAAATTCAATCTACTAAAATAGTTAATAAAAATTGAGTGATAGCTCAAAATTTGCAACATTTGCCCATAAAAAAATGTCTTTTACTCTTACCTGGTTAAGTAGAGTTTTATTGATGTAAATAATATTAATTTGGTAGATAATCAAATCACACATATCTCGTGATTTTGTATCTATAGAAAGTCTTGTAATATGATCAATTGTAAAGGCATTATTTTGCCTATATATTAGTCTGCTATTCAATCAATATAAGCATCTTTCCACCCAATAATTATATTCTTAATATATCCTCAACTTCAATATTGTTTGGTACTTTTGGTGCCCTAAGGCCTAAATCTCCATGAGTGGTAGGTGGATATTGATCACAATGAAAATGAATTTATGGAATGTAAGGTCTATCTATAACAACACAAGTCATTTTCATTTGAATCCACAAGTGGACCGGTGGTTGCCACGTTTTTAACTTTGATTTTGTTTTAATATTTTTAGAACTTGGGTCCAAACGGCATTGTATTTTTGTTAAATTTTTATTAGTGTATGTATTACTTTATTAAGAAAAGGGGGGTCAGTTTGTTTGTTTCTTATTATATGAAACTTCCCGTATTACTAATAAAAAAATATATATTTAGCAAATGAAGGGGTGTACATGGACATTACTTGCTGATCATGCATTAGCTATACCTGTCAGACTTATGGGATGTGAGGGTTCTACCCTCCCTTTGATGGTAGCATTTTTGCTTAATAATAGTATCTTCTTCTAAAAAACAAATAATAAAAAAGAAAAATAAAAAATAATATACAAGTGTTTTACGTTTAACCATACAAAAAACACAGAGGTGACTAATGCAATAAAACCTTCCGTCGCCAAAAGTATTTGATGGAGGAATGTAAATCATGGTGACTTAACGGTCCGTGAGAATAGGGAATCAATCCTCATTGGAGTTGAAATTTCCACACTGCGGCTGTTAATGCGGCTGTCAGGATTCGATCCTAGAACCCTGTACCAAATTACCACATCCGGAACCAATTGAACTATACCCATCAGAGTCACTAATGCAATAAAACCTTTATACTATTGTTGCAGGGTTTTTATTTTTGAACAAGCAATCTCATTAGATGATTTCAATCAAAGTTAAATAAAGACCGGGTGGGCGGGTGTGCATTTTAATATTTAGGTGCAGAAATACATTATTATGCACTTTCCATTATGATTCATGGCCATAACTAACTTGAGAGCAAGGGGAAACCGATCACCATTTCATTAGTACTACTAGTAATGTTTAATATTTTTTTAAACATTTGACCCCACTTCAAATCCTGAATTCTCTCATCAATACAAATAATTCAGAACTCTCAACTAAATTGAAATTTGATTAGATTGAATTAAAATAATTGCACAGTGGATAACTTCTTCAATTTGATACTAAAACTAGTAATAATTTTCTAGTCTTCCTTCATAAATAAGCAACCAACCTCTCTCCTTCTGAACTCCACAGTTCTTCCTCCTCAAGCTCTCTAAAATGGCTTCCGATGTCGAAAGCCCCACAATCTCCTTCCCCGCAAAGGTCTTTTTCGCCCCCTACTTCTCCTTTCTTCTGTTGATCTCTTCTTCTTCTTACTTTTTTTTTTTTACCTAATCGAAATATTCAGCTATCCTCAACTGATTTTGTAGTTATTAATTCCTTTTATTTTTTGATTTTCGATTTTAGAATGTCAAATATTCTGGCGAAATCGATGCTGTGCAGCAGCCTCTTCTGGAAAATAATAAAAGTACCGAGTGCGAGGAATTCTCCGTTGTTTCCGCCATTCTTCCGTGAGTTTTTTTTTTTTTTTTTTTTTTTAATTACTTGCCATTAATTTCATTTTGGATTATCTTTTTAAGATCATTTCTTAGATTTGAGCCTTTTTGCTATTGTTGATTTTTGATATTTTTGCGATTGGATTGGATTGCTACTTTGTGAAAAATATCTGAATTTCTTTGGTGGAATCTCACATTTATGTTAAATTGGAAGCATTGTATAATTTGATAGTTCTCTTGTTTAGATAAAACATTCGGTTTTTTCCTCTCGAAAATCAGATTACTTTATGCATCCATTGTTGTGTTGATTATTATTTTTGGGGATTTTTTGGTCGATTTTTTTTCTAAAACTTGAAATCATGTATGTGTAGTATTATTGATATGATTAGTTGTTACCAGGTTTCTGTTCCCTGCTTTCGGAGGACTACTGTATGGTTATGATATTGGAGCTACATCTTCTGCTACTCTTTTGATTCAGGTACACCTTACACTCTAATTTTTCGTGCCATTTTTTATTACTGTAGTTCAGTAGTATTATTATATTTTTCGCTTAATCTTTGTCAAATTTATGATGGTTTCGAGTAATTCATTATTCTGCGGTTTGCTGGGGATATTTTTGAGATTATTATACTGATAGACGTAGATATTGTCCGAGACACTTCAATGAACTGCAATGTAGATGGGTAAGCATAAGATTTCTCAAAGTTGTTCGAGTAAATTATGTGCGGATGGAGAGCTCGTAGCATGATTGGCTGATCTTTGTAATACAGATTCTCGTTTTATTATATTTTTGTTTCAGTTTCAATTTCTGTTTTTGACATGTAGATTTAGTGTGTCGTATGTGCAAAACCTTTAGTACCATTGGTTTGCTTTATATTGAAAAATGCCATTTTTACTCCTCATTTTGAGCTTGTGTGTTCTAATTTTAATTGCAACATTAAAAAATATTGAGTTAATCCAAATAACCCGAGTTGTGGTTGGTGCATTAATCTTATCATCTTTATGGTTGTTGGTTTCTTTCAAATTCTATAACATGTGGGTGAGGATAATGTCTTAGACCGGAATATGCTTTTATTTGTTCATGCAAGTTATTGATTGCTATCAAATGTTTGTTAAGCTAATACTCTTACTATATTAGCTTTATTTTTAGACATTGTAATGGAGGAGTTTAAATGCTTTTATATAATAATCTGGGATGCTCCAAAAGTTACGGCCGTACCTATCGTATTTGACAGTAACTTAGTTCAATGCTAATTGTTCTATATTTTCTTCCTCTTGCAGTCCGCTACACTGAGTGGAGTTTCATGGTATAATTTGTCTTCGGTGCAAGTTGGTCTTATTGTAAGCGAGCTATTCTTTCTGTTTGCTGCACTTTTTTTTTTTTGGAACATAGCTTCTATTTGGACTGTCTCTGACCGGGGAGAACACATTCTCGTTTTATTTATTTTTATCTCCTGATAATGGCAGACCAGTGGCTCATTGTACGGTGCATTGATAGGCTCAATTTTGGCATATACTGTAGCGGACTTCCTAGGTTAGTTCAACTCCTGATGTTAGGCATGACTCACAACTAATAATATTATTTTTTCCTTTTTAATTTATGGGCGAACTTTAATAGCTGATTACTGCAGGAAGGAGAAGAGAATTGGGTCTTTCATCTGTTATGTACTTTGTTGGAGCTACCGTAACAGCTTTTGCACCGACTTTTGTTGTTCTGGTGATCGGGCGTGTTGTTTATGGTATAGGAATTGGATTGGTAAGACAAAATGTGTAATTGGCAATTTTTAGCAGATCTAAATGTTTTTACTATAGATCCAGTTTTTATTTATTTATAATTATTTGCTTAAACATATACGATTATATGATGCATTTCAAGTTATGACATTAGCAGATTAATTATTGCTCATTTGTTTTCCTGTATATTATAGGCAATGCATGCTGCTCCAATGTACATAGCTGAAACAGCTCCAAGTCAAATACGAGGGCAGCTGATTTCCCTTAAAGAATTCTTCATAGTTCTTGGGATGCTAGTAAGTATTCCTTGAATGAACAAAGAAATCGGTTTCCTGTTGCAAATGAAGTATGTATTGTAATATCCATTACGAATATTTAGGTGGGGTATGTAGGTGGTAGCCTTTTGGTAGACACAGTCGGTGGTTGGAGGTACATGTACGGACTTAGTACTCCAATATCACTCGTAATGGGATTTGGAATGTATTGGCTACCGTCATCACCTAGATGGATTCTTCTAAGAGCTATACAAGGGAAAGACGATGTTCAGTCTCTAAGAAAGAATGCCATTGATTGCTTATGTCGCCTACGAGGTGAAGCTATTATTGCTGATTCTGCTCCTCAAAAAGTTGATGAGATGTTGTCTGAGCTCTCTCACATGCGTGAAGAGCAAGAAGCTTCATTAGCTGAGATGTTCCAAGGGAAGTGCTTGAAAGCACTCATTATTGGTGGTGGTTTAGTCCTATTTCAACAGGTGAATACATATATATTTTTTTTTCTATACAAAATTGTTTCACGAATTCACGTAATTATTTTTCAAATTTCAGCTCGTACTCATGTATTTTATTCATGGCAGATAACAGGGCAACCAAGTGTGCTATACTATGCTGCTACAATATTTCAGGTACGTCACTTGCCAAGGCTTAAAATAGGAGATTTTTTTTTTTTTTTTCCACTATTCTAATGTTTTTAGTATGTATATAGAGTGCAGGATTTTCTGCAGCATCAGATGCAACTAAGGTCTCCATTTTACTTGGTCTCTTGAAGGTAAGATTCTGGGGTTTGCGTTATTTAGGCATTCTCTGTTCTATTGTTTATTTATTCTTGTAATGGACTATGTCTTTACTATCTGATTAAATAATATAATTTTTGTTTTATGTTTGCTCTGCCATTCTTTAAAATTCACACATTCAATATTGTCTTTGCTTTCTGTAGCTGATTATGACCGGGGTGGCTGTACTTGTCGTTGATCGATTGGGAAGAAGACCTCTGCTACTTGGTGGTGTATCTGGTATTGTAAGTATTGCTCTCTTCGATCTTTCAAAATCTATATTTTCAAGCTACTTGAATTTTTGTTTGCCGTTCTGAATTAGACATTGTTGATAATCACTTGGATCTTGTGGCAGGCTGTATCTCTATTTCTACTGGGATCTTATTACACTTATCTTGGTGATATACCCGCTGTGGCAGTTGTTGCTTTGCTCGTATATGTTGGTTGTTACCAGGTAATAACTAATACCCAATGTTTTCCATTGATTTAATATCGTTATTTATGGTCTTCACGTATGTTTTTATACAACTTAGCCGAGAGAATGAATGAAGGAACTATTATTATATGTGCTGATGAAATTGGTGCAACTTATGTTCTCTTGGTTGAATTTGGTGTGTAATTTGATGTTACACGAAGAATTAACATTTGAAGAGCATATTTTGGCAGTTATCATTTGGTCCCATTGGTTGGTTGATGATTTCGGAGATTTTTCCGTTGCGCCTAAGAGGACGAGGTTTGAGTATTGCAGTGCTCATTAATTTTGGCGCAAATGCGCTCGTGACATTTGCATTTTCTCCCCTCAAGGTGCGTGCAAAAAAGTCTTTGCTCTCAACTTTTGATTTCTGCAATTTAAAACATGAAAATATTCTGTCAAAGTATAATTGTGATGATTAATAAATGCAGGAATTGCTTGGGGCTGGAATCCTATTCTTCATATTCGGGGGCATAGCTATATTGTCGCTTATATTCATCTTCTTCATCATTCCAGAAACCAAGGGGCTTACCCTTGAGGAGATTGAGGCCAAACTCCTCTAGCCCAATAAATCAAATTTCCCGCCAATATTCGGATTTCTTGTAATTCCATGTTTGTAAATCAAACCTATATCTATCATGCTTTGGTGGAAACAGCTAATGAATATTTTTTTCAAGCTACACTTTAATATAATTATTTCAATCATATTGGTTATATCTTTTCATTTATGATACTATTAGTAACACGTTCATTGCATGTGATTTTAGTTTATAAATAAAATTTGAGATTAATTGAATAAAGCTAAATATACTGAGATATTTCATAAATACATAAATATTAATTTTTTGTGCTAATGTTGATCAACATTTATGATTGACCAAATAAAGTTGGATTAGTGAAAACTCCCCCCACTCATATAGGTAAATGATGGTGGATCTCACCCGATTTCCAATATTAGTGAGACCGCCAATTTGTTTGGTTGAATAAATATTTAGCAAAATTTATAGGAATGTCCCTAATTTGTTCTTTGTTCTTCATAATCACGGTAATACGGGGTGGAAAAAGGTCAAATGACATTTATAGGCTTAAAGAACATGATCACCATTCCAATTTACTCAAACCCAACGAGAATTAGATCGAAAATACACATTTGGGGCATAGTGCACCGAGTTGTATATTTTGAGGGGGAAAAGGGCAAAAATGACATTTTCTGAGAGGGCCGAAGTGCAATTTTCCCTAAGTCATATAAGCTTAAACATAAAGATAAATAGCATGTATATATAATTTTACTTGAAACACATGTTTACAGCGAGATGACAACAAAAGATGTCGTGTAAAACGTGTGATAAAATTTGACAACTTTAACTTATGTCGAATGCGCATGTCAACAAATCTCAATGGAATGTTATAACAATGAATTGTTTTGACTTGGTTAGTTTCCAATCATTTGTTGGTAGATAAATATTGGATTTTGAAAATGCAATACGGAATGCATTTGACACTTACTGTTACTATTGAAGTGCAATATGGAATGCAACATTGAATCAGATTATAAGATCGGAAGTGGTGAAAATCTTATGCTACCTTTCATTACATCAACTCTACAGGGCAAGGAAGTAGATTGTTGCTTACAAGTCGTGATCGGAACATCACAAAGCATACTCGTTATATTCAGTGGCGAATCCAGGATTTTTGCCAAGGGTGTTCGATATTAAATATAGTAAAAAATATAATGGTTGGGTAAAAGTTTACGGGGGTTCGGGGGCAGCGCCCCCGATCTTTTTTAATACTATACACATTAAATAAAAAAAATATGTAATATTTTCAAATTTAAAGGGATTATTTTACAAAATTTGGGCTAATTTATGAAATATTTAGACATAAAATTGGTGAAAATATTAAATGAGTGGTAAACATATTAAAGTTGCAAGTGACAAAATGTGTATTTCATTAGCATATTCTGAATTTTCAAAATATAAAAAAATACTCACAGAGGTAAATTTAGAAAACAATTGAAATAATATATGGAATAATGTAGATAATATAAAATATTAAAGGAATTGTAAATAAATTAGAGTTGCAAATAGCAAAATATATGTTTTATTAGGAGATTTTGATTTTTTGAAATATAAAAAAAAATAAAAATACCCTCATGCATATTCAAAAAAATTGAAAACAATTGAAATATTGTATGTAATGGAAATTAAATCTTGCACGGGTAAAAAATTTCTACCAACAAACTACAAACCAATTTTGAAAGTTAAATTTTAAATAATATACAGAAAAATTAGAATATAAAAAGGAATATATACTGAAAACTCAGAAATAGAAAAACAACTAAATAGAGTAATATACAGAAAAATTAGAAATAAAAAAACAAATTGAAGGAAGAACTCTACCAATTCAGCTACAGCTATACATGTTCAAATTACAGATTTACAGTTATATAACAGGTACATATATAGGGAATATTTTTTTTTTAAAATCAAGGGTGTGCAGCTGCACACCCTTGGACCACACTAGATACGCCACTGGTTATATTCATGAGATGAAATTGTTAGACTCCGAAGAAAGCTAGAAAGTGTTAATGAAGAAGGCATTCATCGACAACAATGAAGGCAAATGTCCAGAAGACTTGTACGGTATAGGGAGAGAGATTTTGAAAAAGTGTGATGGTCTACCATTAGCCATCTCTGTGGTCAGAGGCCTACTGGTTGATAGGAGCCCGTCGAAGAGTAAATGGGAGAACGTTTCGAAAAAAATAAACTCTCATTTGGGAACAAGGGAAAGCAGTGTATCAGAAATTCTGGAGTTAAGTTACCGCAATTTGTCTCCAAAACTGAAGTCGTGCTTCTTATGTCTAGGCTTATTCAAAGAAGATGTCGTCATTCCTGCAAAAAAAAGCTAATACAAGTTTGGATTGCACAAGGCTTAATCCAACAAGAAAGAAGAGGAGAAAATACAACAATGGAGGAAATAGGTCAACATTATTTAGATGAGTTGATCAATCAAAATATGGTTCAAGTAAAGGATATGAGTTACGACGGGAGCCTGAAAAACCGTCATATTCATGATGTTCTTCGCGAGCTATCCATACGAAAAGCAAAGGAGGAAATAAGGTTTGAGATCCGAAGGGAGGATGGGAATTCTCAATCCTTGGATAAACCTCGTCATTGTGTTGTGTATTGTAGCACATAAACTTTATTTACTCTGCAGGTAAAAATAAGTATGTTCGCTCTCTTTTCATTCATAGATCTGACAAATATATTTATGTTATGTTAAACCATCATATTGGAAAAGTTTTGAACTTCTAAAGATCGTTGATTTTGAAGATTCAAAATTGTTTATATTATGGCTAATGAATATTTTTTTTCAAGCTACACTTTAATATAATTATTTCAATCATATTGGTTATATCTTTTCATTTATGATACTATTAGTAACACGCTCATTGCATGTGATTTTAGTTTATAAATAAAATTTGAGATTAATTGAATAGAGCTAATTATACTGAGATATTTCATAAATACATAAATCTTAATTTTTTGTGCTAATGTTGATGAACGTTTATGAGTGACCAAATAAAATTGGGATTATTAGTGAAAACCCTCCTCGTTCATGATGGTGGATTTCACCCGATTTCTAATATTAGTGAGATCCCCCAATTTGTTTGGTTGAATAAATATTTAGCAAAATTTATAGGAGTGTCCATAATTTGTTCTTTATTCTTCATAATCACGGTAATACAGGGTGGAAAATGGTCAAATGGCATTTACAGGCTTAAAGGACATGATCACCCTTCCAATTTACTCAAACGTGACAAGAATTAGACAAAAAATCATATTTTGGGCATAGTGCACCGAGTTGAATATTTTGAGGGGGGAAAGAGCAAAAATAACATTTTCTGAGGGGGCTGAAGTGCAATTTTCCTTAAGTCATATTAGCTTAAACATAATGATAAAAAGCATGTATATATAATTTTATTTGAAAAACATGTTTAGAGCGAGATGACAACAAAAGATGTCGTGTAAAACGTGTGATAAAATTTGACAACTTTAACTTATGTCGAATGCGCATGTCAACGAATGTCAATGGAATGGTATAACAACTTCTCATAACGAATTGTTTTGACTTGGTTAGTATAGATAAATATTGGATTGTGAAAATGCAATACGGTTCTCTTAAAACATGCATTTGACACTTACTGTTACTATTGAAGTGCATTATAGAATGCAACACTGAATCGGATTATAAGATAGAAAATTGTGAAAATCTTATGCTATCTTTCATTAATTCCATCAAAAAGTAGACTTTTGCTTACAAGTCGTGATCGGAACATCACAAAGCATGCTCGTTATATTCATGAGATGAAATTGTTAGACTCTAAAGAAAGCTGGAAATTGTTAATGAAGAAGGCATTCATCGACAACAATGAAGGCAAATGTCCAGAAGACTTGTACGATATAGGGAGAGATGTCTTGAGGAAGCGTGATGGTCTACCATTAGCCATCTTTGTGGGAGGAGGCCTACTGGTTGATAGGATCCCGTCGAAGAGTAAATGGGAGAACGTTTCGAAAAAAATAAACTCTCATTTGGGAACAAGGGAAAGCAGTGTATCAGAAATTTTGGAGTTAAGTTACCGCAATTTGTCTCCATCCACACAAAAAGATTGATACAAGTGTGGATTGCCAATGGCTTAATCCAACAAGGAAGAAGAGGAGAAAATACAATGGAGGAAATAGGTCAAAATTATTTAGATGAGTTGATCAATCAAAATATGGTTTAAGTAAAGGATGTGGGCAAAGATGAGAGCTTGAAAAACTGTCACATCCATGATCTTCTTCGTTAGCTATCCATACGAAAAGCAAAGGAGGAAATAAGTTTTGAGATCCGAAGGGAGGATGGGAATTCTCAATCCTTGGATAAACCTCGTCACCGTGCTGTGTATTGTAGCACAGAAACGTTCATTTACTCGGCAGGTAAAAATAAATATCTTCGCTCTCTTTTCTTCCATGGATCTGGCAATGATATTGATGTTAAACCGTCTTATTGGAAAAGTTTTGAACTTCTAAAGATCCTTAATTTTGAAGATTTTATATTGAACGAGTTGCCTTATACAATTGGTGAACTGACTGGATTAAGGTACTTGAGATTAAGAAATACAAAGATATTGGAGCCCCCACGCTTGTTGGGTCGCCTTAAAAACCTTGAGGTTCTTGATGTAGCGAAAAATTATATATATGTGCGAAATGTTGTATGGAAAATAGATACCCTACGTCATATTTACATGCATCTAACTATATGAGAGCGCCTGTAAGAATAGGAATCTTCACACATTGTCCTACATCCGGACGGATCATTTTGTTCTCAAGCACCTAACACAACTTGCAAGTCTTCGGACATTGGGCATAGATCTCCGTTCGTCTGATTTTGAATTCAGCACACTGTGTAGCTCATTGAAGAATCTTGTTTGTCTAAAAGTAAGAAACATAGACATGTACCCGACAAGTATGGACGTTCTTGATACTATGTGCAATCGCACTAAACTTAAACTGGAAGGTAAACTTACCAAGTTACCTGATTTACCTCCAAATCTTTCTTACTTGACCTTGGTACATGGTGAGCTCCTCCACGACCCAATGCCAGTGCTCGAGAAGCTACCAAAGTTATTGGGGCTGAAATTGGATTATGCATATAAAGGTCAAAAAATGGAGGTATCAAAGAAGGGATTTCCGAGGCTTAAGGTCCTCATTCTCCGTGAAATGTGGTATCTGGAGACTATACAAGTTGGAAAAGGAGGTGGAATGCCGGAGCTCAAAGGATTGGAAATATACGCATGTTTCAGACTCATGGAAGGACTCTCGAAAGAGATGAGATTAATCACCATATTGCTTGAAGAGTAGAAGAATATGGATGGTGACAAGCGTAGAAATGAGTTTGGAAAATTGTTGTTGTTCGTTTATTTGTCTTTCTTTTTATATTCAAACCATTATACCCGAAAAAGAAAAAAACGGCAAATGGCAAAAAGGGAGATGACAAGGGACTTAAATGCACATTGGTCCATAAAAAACACAGTCTTTCAATTAAATACATCCCCATGTCTTTAGTCAAAAATACCACCATAATATATTTTTTGTCAATTCCATCTATTATACTCTAACTTTCTTAATATTACACATTAACCCCAGATTTAAACAAATATATCACATTAACCCCCATTTTAATAATTTTTTGAAAAAAATATTTTTTTTTTCAGAAAATAATTTTTTTTATGAAATTATTTTTTACCGGCCAGATTCCGGCGTTGACCGGGCGGTTCTCTAGCGTTGATTTTTTTTTTGTTTTTTTGTTTTTTTTTTTGAAATTTTGTTTTTTCTTAAAAAAAAATATTTTAATTAGTATTACTGTCTTGGCTGCTAAATTACTGTCTCAGACAGTAATATTACAGTTTGGGACAGTAATATTATGAATATTATTTTTCCGAACAGTAATATTACTAATATTATTGTCCCAAACTGTAATATTATTGCATAAGACCATAATATTACGGTCGGAGACAGTAATATTACTGTCGAAGACAGCAAAATGCAGGCCAAGACGATAAAATTAATTAATACAACAATATTACTGTCTCAGTCAGTTAAATTACTTTTGGAGACAGTAATTTAGTAATTTAGCAGCCAAGACAATAATAATATTCATAAAAAAAGTCAATTAACAGTTAAAATACTGTCTCGGACAGTTAAATAACTGCTTGAGACAGTAATTTAGCAGCCAAGACAGTAATATTAATTAAAATATATTTTTGAAGAAAAAAAAATCAATTAACAGTTAAATTATTGTCTCCGACAGTTAAATAACTGCTGGTGATAGTAATTTAACAGCCAGGACAGTAATATTAATTAAAATATTTTTTTAAGGAAAAAAAGTCAATTAACAGTTAAATTACTGTCTCCGACAGATAAATAACTGCTGGAAACAGTAATTTAGCAGCCAAGACAGTAACATTAATTAAAATATTTTTTTTAAGAAAAAACAAAATTAAAGGAAAAAAAAAAGTCAACGTCGGAGACCCGGCGGTCAACGGCGGTTGACCCACCGGAAAAAAATTTAGAAAAAAAAAGTTTTCAAAAAATAAAATAAAAAGTCAACGCCGGAATCTGGCGGTTGACCGGCGACTCGGGTGGGGGCGGATCAAAATTGGGGTCAATATTGAAGTTATGATCAAAATTGGTTAATTGATGAAATTTGGCTAAATTAGAGTGTAAATCATGAAATTGGAGTTGAATTGAGTTTCAAGGAATTGGGGGTAATTTTGATATATATAAAAGAGTTTTCCTTATTTGCAAATAATTGCAAGACAAAAAAGTTGGTTGTGCCCTTTTTTAATTTGTTAATTGCCACCGTTTTCAACATGTAGAAGTTTTATACACAGATTTTGGTTCCCTATATATTTATCCCAAATCAAAGAAGATTATGTAAATATAAAGCACTTAACATAGCTTACTAGTTTTCGAACATTGGGCCTAAATACCGAATTTTCGGTTATGTTATGGGAGAGCAAAGTGTGTAGTGCGTTGAAGTACGAGGTATATTGACCAAGTTACCCGTTGCCACCGATTTCCTCCCAATCTTGAGTACTTGATGTTGGCTAATTCCCATCTGCGTGAAGATCCGATGCTTGTGCTCGAGAAGTTGCCGAAGTTATTGTGCTTGAAAATGAAATTTGCATATGATGGTGAAGAAATGGTGATATCGAGTTAAGGGCTCCCAAGCCTCAAAATCCTGAGCTCCGTGATATGATTTGTCTAAGGAATATAACAGCCGAGAAAGGAGGTTGAATCTTGAGGCTCAAACGACTCGAAATCTACAAATGCCCGTGACAGAATAGACTTCCGGAAGAGCTGAGCTTCTATTCTCAAATAGAAGAAGAATGTTACGTATGTTGACAAACAAAGTAAGTTTGGTTAATCTTTGATCATTCGATAGGAGAATTACGAATGCTTTTGCTCATGTACCTACTCTCTTACCGAGAGTTGATAATAGACTCCTCATTTCTATTTGTATACATAATACATTATTGACTACGTTTTGGTTGCATTTTGGGGATAGAATGGAAAATTCACATACAAGGAGAAAACAAACGAAGATTAAAAAACTAAATGGCAAAGAATACTTGCTAACAAACGAAGAGAAGGCAGCATCTTCTCCCATCTCTACGAAAATTTCTTCGTCCAAATCCAAGTACCAATCGACCTCAGAACAAAAACATGACCGAAAAGGAAAACAGACCCCATAAACACTACAGTCAAATGAAACCCGATTAATATCAAGTACAGCCCAAACTAACGAATACGGAGCTAAATAGAGGAACAACCGAGTCAGTTAAGCTTAAAAATAGCATTAACCGATTTGCCTCTTTTCTCTTCGGGTAACTCAGAATTTCTATTCAAATTTCAGATGCTGTCTCCTTTACATTTCACCGATCCCTCCTGCTAGCTTGATTTCCTCCATATAATCCTCTATAATGCCCCTTGAGGCAAAAGAAGGAGAAAATAAAGTCGAGAACAATGATCGAGTAGGAGAAAAAATTACTGTGACACCTATATATCGTACTCCCTTGATTCGACAAAAATAGAGATGTGCATATTAGCCCTGTCATAGTTATGCATATCGCAATAAACAAATAAATGATGGTATGGGGTACATCACAGTTTTTTAATCAACAACTTCTACCATGTCAATTCTTGTAGTCTGATGAACTAACGGCCAATTGTTTAATTCAATATTTCCTAGGAATCAACTTAATTGGTAAAATCCACTATCTTAATTCAGAAAAGGAATTTATTCATCGGGCTCAAGATTGCTATGTGACGATGGATCAGAGTGCAAGTTGCAACCACACACATCTTTATTTAGCAATCTAAAATATTCAAATTATAATCAGGTTTTAGCAATTACAACATCAAAATTAATCACAAAGCCGTCGGTTCGATGTCTTTTCTGCTTTACTACTTTCGCCACAAGCAGAAATATTTACATTCAGGTCCTTGTTCAAGTTTAAGGTTAGTTAGCATGGTGTCACGGCCCGCTAGTTTTGACCCAACCCCTTGCCGATTTCCCTTGGGTTGGGGAGGTTATAAAGAGTCCAAGATGTAGCCCAAATAGGGTTAGGCCCAAGTTGGCCCAATTGTATAGTGGTAGGTAGAGACATTTTAGGGATTCTTTGGTAGGTAGAGGTAGGTGGTGGTAGGTAGAGACATTTAAGGGATTGTTTCACTCCCAACCGTTAGATCATATCGATCTCCACCGTCCATTGAGGAGGTGGTCTTGTATAAATAGAGGTAGGGTCCTCATTTGTAATCATCCAACAAATCCAACAAACACTCTAGCAATAAAGTACTTTTCCTACCGACTCTCTTGTCTTCTTACTTTCTTTCTTCGTTCCCATCACTTAAGTATTCGCAACACAATTTGGGAGAGGCTGACTTAGCTATCGCGAGGGGCGAGAAGGAGCTAAGGCCGCACGGTTCTTTGTTAAGGGAACAAGTCCGTGACAAGTGGTATCAGAGCCCGGCTAAGGGCTTTGTGTTGATCGAATTCTCAACGATGGCGAACGTCGAAGATATTTCGTACGTAACCGAGGGACGTGGCAGGGAGGCCCACGTAAACAACAAGAAGAAGAGGGACCACAGCAAGGCTCGTGGGGAGAGTACCGTTAACGAGGCCGTGCTAACGGATCATGGCGAAAGACTCGAGAGGCTCGAGAATAACATCGCCATAGCGGAGCTTAGCGAACGATTCGAGAAGCTCGAGCACGATGCGGATGTGTTGGAGAATCACGTCGCCGAGCAACTCGATTTGTTTAAGGACAATGAGACGTTGCGGGAGGAACGGTTGGATCGACTGGAGGCCATCATCCAATCCCTCCAAGAGAGCATCGAGGGGATGCGCGACGACTTGGCCTTATGCAAAAAGGCCGCCGCTAACGGTAGCGCTGGTGCTACTTCGAGTCCAAGGGTGGACTGCCCGAAGCCAACGAGATTCAACGGCGTAAGGGACGCCAAGGAAGTTGAAAACTTCCTATGGAGGATGGAGCAATACTTCGAGGGCATCGGTCTAGTCGACGAGACGATCAAGGTAAGAACTTCTTCCCTTTACCTTTCCGATACGGCAATGTTATGGTGGCGTAGAAAGCACACCGATATCGAGAAAGGCATTTGCCGAATCGATACTTGGGAAGAGTTCAAGAGGGAACTCAAGCGACACTTCTACCCGGAGAACGTCGTCTATGAGGCTCGAAGGAAGTTGAGGGAACTCAAGCAACGAAGTTCAATCCGCGAGTACGTAACGGAGTTCACCACCCTCACCCTTCAAATTCCCAACCTCTCCGAGGAGGACCTTCTTTTCCACTTCACCGATGGGTTACAAGGCTGGGCCAAGCAAGAACTCCACCGACGAGACATCAAATCCGTCGATGAAGCTATTGCCGCCGCCGAGTCTTTAACCGAGTATCAACCGAGAGAGCCGTTGCGAAAAGAGAAGTGGAACCCGACTAAAGACAGAGGAGAGAGACGGGACAATCATGGTCGGGACTATCGAGACAACCGAGACCCAAGGCGAGCGTCAACCTCGAGGGGAGGAGACAAGCCATCCTCACACCAACAACTTGAAGAGAAGAAGAGGTCGTTTGTGCCTAAGGGAGGATGCTTCGTGTGCAAGGGGCCGCACGCGATGAGTCAATGTCCCAAGATGGGGTCATTGTCGGCACTCTTACAACAAGAGGCCGAACAAGACACAAACGAGGAGCTAGGCAACATGGGATCGCTCCAACTTCTGAACGCCTTAAAGGCTAACCCGATGCCGGCAACATCAAGCAAGGGGCTGATGTACGTGGAGGCCC